TTTATCAAAATGTGCAACTATAGTAAAGCCTACTGAAACAAGACTCTTCTCCAGAAAGCTTAAGATATTGCTAAGTTTATTGTTTGTAGTTATATAATTTCTAGCAGTTTCTTTATAATCTGGGTCATAATTTCTTAACATTATATAAATTCCTTTGAATAAAGTACATGTAATTATCTTATTATTTTCCTGTTAGGCAGAAAATATCACACTATGTATAGAAACTTATGTTGTACAACATATCAAAATCTTTGATTGGTATATTGGTAAAGCTAGTAAGTTTAAATTATTTTTCTTTATGTACATATTGGCTAAAAAACTTAATGAGTATGTTTAAGCTTAAAGAAATGGTCACCCAGCTTAATTCCAGTAATTTGTTTTTTTTATAGGTATAATAAAAAATGGTGGTGTAAAACCCAATATCATTCCCTCTTATTCTGAATTACTCTATTACATCCGTGCACCCTCAATGAAAGAACTTCAAGTTTTGACCAAAAAGGCAGAAGATTGCTTCAGAGCTGCAGCTTTGGCTACAGGGTGCACAGTAAGAATTTTTAAGAGTTAATTTAAGTTACAATTAGAGGTTTATATATGGGCTGGAGCTGTTCATATTAAGTTAGATTGAAGCCTAACTTGCCTCTTTTTCATTTGGTGATATCTTGAATATGTAGAATGAATTGGCTGAATAGTTAATGTGAAAGTCTTTCATTTTTATGTTTTTTACTGAATGCCTGCAGTAGGGAAGGCTACAGATCATCTTACTTTTATAACAGTTAGAATAATTCTTATACTGCTGAGCTAGAATCCCTGCCTTTTTACAAGTTATATTCTTCCTTATTGGCAGTTACACTTTTAGAATTGTTCTATATTTTGTCCTGTAAAGGGAGCTTTATGGCAAAATCAGCAAAAGCTATTTTTGGTTAAGTTATAGGTGTGCAGAGTGGTGACATAAATACTTACGGCTTGCTGGAATGGAAGTTAAAAACACAACATACGTTAGCTGAGAGGTTCTGTTGATTTGACCCTAATGTCAGAAACATTTAAGTACCAGTCGTGTATGGTGTAAAGTAATACAAATCCTGCCCTGCAGGGAGCCCATAGTCTAGTTGGAGAGACAAGATCTTGACCTGTGCCTCAGCTTAGGTAACTCTGTAACCTTTAGAAATATTATTTAATATCTCTGGGCCACCATTTTCTCACTTGAAAAATGGGGATAATAACATAATCTATTTTAGGGTTCTTATGATAATTAAATGAGATAGTTTGTGAAGAGTTTAGAGCCTAGCCTTCGTATATATTACCTTATTTTTTTCTGTCCTTATTAGTCTAGAGATGTATGATTTATTCCCATAGTAGCAGTGTCTCACAGTAGCAGCAATGCTCAGACAGTGTGTGTTAAGTGTCCTAAGAATAGTGTGGAAAGTGTCAGGAGGATTAGAGGCAGGAAAGAGATGGGCTGGGGCTGTAAGGAGGGTTTTGTGGAAGACTGTAGACCCGAATTGAGCTTTGAAGGATGAGCTTTGAAGGATGATCATACTTTCAGATAGGTTTGTGAAGGACAGAGGGAGAGTTCTTAGACAGGAAATATAGTCAGCAAAGATAAGAGTTTAAAAACTCATGTTGTGTCGTAGTGAACAGATAAAAATATGGACAAATTTAGGAGCAAGGACATATCCTCATATGCCCTTAGAGAAGATAGGTATAGCTTTAGTTAATGAGAACTATAAAGCATCCATAGCATAGGGCAGTAAGAACTAAGCATTTATTCCTGTATTT